AAACTTCACTCAGTAACACTTTTTCAAAAGATCATACGTGATAAATGTCCTCCGTATCTCTACAATAAAATACAATTCAGGACTGATGTGCACTCTCTCAATTTGAGATATAAAGGCCTCATCTCACCTCCAAAACATAAAACAGCTTTCTTCCGCAGGTCTTACAGTTACAACATTTACGCGCTCTACAATGATGTCCCTAGCAATTTCAAACGTTTCAGTAAAAGTAATTTTAAATATAAATATAAACAACACCTCCTTGAACAATCTTAGTGAATGAGCACTTTGATGCAAAATTTGATCAATCTATTTTTATATATTTTGTATACCTATCTATCATCTATATGTGTTTCTATCATATAATAGGGTTGTGATTTATTATTACCTCAGTTTGTATATTAATCTAAAATCATGAATTGCACTTTTTCTTTTTTTTTTTCTCGAGGCAACTACTTAGACCAGCAAGCTTTCGAGCAATGTTGTTAGTGGTCTCTTTTGTGGTTCATAACATTATTGTATTTTCATGTCCTTTATATATTTATATTTTCTTTTATAATTTGAACTGCAAATAAACTATTATTATTATTATTATTATTATTATATCCCTAGGACGTCCCAAGGATATCCCAGGGACATCCCTTCGACAAAAGAAAAAAAAATGTAGGTCTAGTTGGGATTGAACCCGGGAACTTCAGCTTATCAGGCACGCACCTTACTCCATTGGCCAATATGCCTTCTGAAGATTCATGTATTGAACAGATTTATAAACAGGACAACTACAGAAATCTGGATAAATAGAACTGTTAGGATTCGGGTATAATTATTATCATTCTTGGGTGTTTGAAAATGAGGGGCATTATGCATTTACGATCTCTGTTTGCGAAAAATGGTCATTTCTTGAGAAGTTTTGAGACTATATTCTTTATTTTCATCACAATTATTTTCCGGAAGAAATACATTTTCGAAAAAATTCGACTCAATATTTTGATGATATTGAATGACTCTCTGATGTGAAGAATGGATATCAGATATTCCAGGGACACGAATGGGATAACCTAGGGATGTACCGGGTGGGATGTCCACTAGACAACTACTGGCGGGACATCCCCTGGATGTCCCAATAATTTCCTTGTACCGCGGGACAAAAAAGGGACGCACCTAGGACATCCCTGTGTTGTTAGGGAGTGGTCTTGGTGGGAATGGTGATACCAGACATTGTTATATCAAGCATGCCGCATATGCCTATGATCATTTTGGGGTATTATTGGAACGTATGTCTCGTTGTAGATTCTATCACATCCCACACAGCACATAAATGTCTAATATCCGTACAATGGACGTCCACTGGATGTTCTGAGAACACCACTTGGGACTTACAATGGATGCTCATCTTTGTACTCAAAATGTATTTCGATATCTGACCATCCATTGCACGTACCAAACTGGCCGTTAAACGTTCAATGGACGTTCATTCATTGGATGTCCTGCGGACACCACTTTTGCCGAACAGTGAATGTTTATATGTTTAGATGCTCATCTTTGGAGATCAAATGATGTAAAAGCAATAACTAGGTACTTCCATTTATATATATTTTTATTGCTAATTTCATATTTATAAAAATATCGTCGATTCATGTCTACTGCAGTCCATTTTCTATTCTTGTTTCTGTAAAGAGGGATAAATAATTTAAGTTATTCCATAGGTATTCCGTAGTCGAAGCTTGAAGTGTAGAAATCGATTGCTCAGACTCCAAATCCTGTGCAGCTCAAATCTGATGGTTGGTGAATAAAGCCTTATTCAGAACAATATCACAGTGCCTTCTTTCAAGTCGCCCATCAAAAATAAATTAAAACCTGTAGCTTGATAAAATATAAAATAATAACTAATAACTATATTAGCCATATAAAGACACATTTGAACATACATGCTCTCATACCTGCTTTGAATGATCTGATCCTGAATATTCTGCATATCATATTCCATCAGAAACACAACTCCACGGTCATTTACTTACTGATAATGTATATCATCACGCCAGTCGTTACTTTCGAGCTCGTCTCGATCACTGACCCCATGACATCTCTGACCATACGTAATGGACGTTCATTTAACGTCCATGATCCTTCAGACTCAAAATAATCCCAAACTGGATATTTTGTTTAAGAAATTCATTCATTCTTAATGCATGAATACTTCAACTTATAATGGCCGTTAAATTGACATCAAATGGAAGTTCAATTTGAATCAGCCAATGTACGTCCATCTTTCTACGTACAATGGATGTTGATCAAACGTTCATGAGAGTTAAGTCCTTTAGTTGACGTGAAATGAATGTCCAACGGACGTTAATTTTGGAACATACATTGTACGTCCATCTTCATGAGTACAATGAACGTACATTCTACGTACATGAATGGTTGGACAATAGATCGACGTCCACTGGACATACAATTTGGAGCATCCAATGACCATCCATGTTTGTACGTACATTCAATGTCCATGGACGTTCGGAATTGAAATGGACCTGAAATGGCAGTCTAATGGACGTCATGTGCTCTGTGGGTTTAGGCGTGTCTGTAATCTCATTATGAATCATCCATCATTCATTATATAGGTACTACTCAAAGATTAAGGGGGGTTTTCGCACTAGCATTTACAGACAGGACGCATCAAATATTTCCGGTGGGGAAGACGTAATAAGGTAATATCAGAAAGGAAAATATCGCTTCTGCATAAAACAAGAGACTGCTTCACCTTACTCGGCCTAAATGAATCTTTTTCCTGAAAAAAATATTTTTCGAGATATTGCAGTTATTTTTTGAAGGGACTGTGAAGTAGCAATCGGGATATGGGTAGATTAGTAAAACTCGTCACATTTTCTAAACCCAATATAATAGCAATTAGTCAGTGTGGCATATTCACCATAGTAGCGTAATCTGTCTAACATAATTACCGTCTACCTGATCAGTAATTAGTAACTGCTTACAATAAGCCAATGAAGCTCTAAAACTCATATTTCAAGCTCGCCATGTTTTGGATAGATCGGTTAAAATCCTAGTGTGTGAGTCACTTGTATTATCCAAATTGAATTTCTGTGACAATATTTATAATTCCTGTTCAAATTCATTAGATGTAAATAGAATACAAAAATTACAAAACTCATGCCTAGGACTAATTTTTGGTATTCGCAAATTTGAACACATCAGTCATTCATTCAAAATTACTAAATGCTTACTCGTCAACCAGCTTTTACAACATCACAAGCAGATCACGTGGTATAGGCGAGTTCAATTCAGCTTGAAACTGAGAACTAGCATTGTCCTTCCATTTGTTTTTCATTAGTCTGTGTCCAAAGCTCAAAAAAAAATTGATGTGATATTGGTAGGTACTTAGGTAGGAACCTCTAAAATCGTCCCTTGGGTTAGAGAGTATAGGGTTTTTAGATTTATTATCAGCTGAGTAAGTTGAACTTAATACTGAAAATAATGTCAACACCCATTTCATATTCGTTCTTCATGATGATCATATATGGAATCTGATCTGAAGAACTTATCCACCACGAGCGTCTATACAGGGTGTCCCAGAATAACCTTCGAATACTCCGGGAGGTGATTCTATATATAAAATAGAAAAAAAAATGCTTTATGCTTTGGTCTTAGAAAATCGAATGTGTGGTGGAATGTTTGACAGAAAGGGGCATTAGACAAACATCATATTCATTTTATTGTGATCAAAAACTTTGAAAAAATATAGTAGATACGGAATAGGGCATAGTTCTTCTACTGATGGAAGAGATGAGCCAACAAAAGAAGAAAAATGTGCATGAATAACTCATGGCTCTGAAAGTTTTTTGTATTGAGTCTCGGAATACAAAATTTCAGGGACTTTGGGACTTCTTCATTACACATTCTGGAAAAGGTCAGTATGAAACGTTCATCATCCTGGATTCAACTATGTCATCTTACGAATCCATGATTTCTCCAACGAATAAAAGTTTCAATGCACTTTCCATTTCCATAGGCATATTATGGTGCTCACTTCATGATTCACTTCAATATTCTCCATCAATAGGTACTAACAAAAATTTGATATTATCTAATAACACCAATTTCTATGGAATGATTGTTGATTAATCATAGTAGAATGTATCGAATTGATCCAATTCCAAGATCCGAAAATTGATATAATCTAAGCTTCGATGTTTTTTATTGATGATTATTTTGTCATTTTGATTGTATGTGATTGTCACACGGTTGTCATTACATCAATGGCATTCTTTATTGTTTGGCGTTTTATTCCTTCCTTTATAATTCATACACCAGAGAATCACAAAAAATGCGACTATTACTACTAGGGCTGGGCAATATTGGATTCCACATATCGATTATCGATGAGTGAAAACATATCTAGAAGTTCGATATATCAATGATATCGAGATATCGATAAATATCGAAATAGGTATCGATAAATATCGAAATAGGTATCGATAAATATCGACATGTCGATACATATGGAAATATAGAAATATTGGTATATTGATGACCATCGATATATCGATATTTATGAGAATTAGGTAGAAAGTCATCGATATATCGATGACTATAAATTTTTTCGTGATTCGCGATGTTCTGAATATTCGAGATAGGTCTGTCGTTTTCTTGTTCACAGAATTGTGTTGCTGTACGGCATTATAAATTTTGTCTGCATATTACGAAACCGTCTAAAAGTCACACAATTGAAATGAGTTTATTTCTACCGATATGTTGGGGAAAAATTGATAGTTATCGATATATCGATAGCTTTATAGTCCTTATATATATCGATATATCGATGGTTATCAATATACCAACATGTCGATCGATATATCGATATTCCGATAGTTATAGATAGTTCTCGATATTTCGATAGTTATCGATATATCGATATTTTTGAACTTATATATTGTTATTCGATACATCGATATATCGATATATTATATATCCTAATTACTACTACTCACTTGAAACCTATTGACGATGCTTTCCAGCTGGTGTTTGGTGATCTTCGTTTGCCGCCTGGTCATGTCTGTGGGCTGTTTGGCGTTGAAAGGGTAGGCTATGCAGCGCGAGATGAACACGTAGAGCTGTATCCTCCTCTTCCTTTCTTCTTCCTCCCTCTCCTGCTTCTCCTGCAAGTCTACCTCGGTCTTTTCTGAGGCCACTGACGGCGAGGGACTTGTCGGCCGAGGTAGAGAGTTTGCCCTGAGTATAGGAACGTATCGTCGTGAGGTGTGAAATTTACGGAAACGCAAGAGGGCCATTACGCGTTTTTTTCATCTAGATTTTCATCTTGCCCAATAAGCAAGATGCTATTGCCTAATAAGCAAGATGATCTGGCCTAATCAGCAAGATGATCTAGCCTAATGAACAAGATGATCTAGCCCAATAAGCAAGATGATCTAGCCTGATAGGCAAGATGATCTTACTTAATAAGCAAGATGATCTTGCTTAGTAAGCATAGCCCAAGAAGCAAGATGATCTTGCTTGATAAGCAAAATGCTATAGACTTATGAGCAAGATGATATTGCTTAATAAACAAGATGATCTTGCTCAATAACCAAGATGATCTAGCTCAATGAGCAAGATGAGTTTGCTTAATAACCATAATGATCTAGCTTAAGAAGCAAGATGATCTAGCCTAATAAGCAAGACGATCTTGATTATTCCAGATTTTTTGAGATTTTCTCTCCTCGATTCTATAAATTGAAAATATGAATATTTGTGTGTAGCAGAATGTCACTGCGTTTAAAGAATTTTATCAGAGAGTCTAAGAGAAAAATTCACTAGCTTGCCAGTGACAATTTATATTGAAAAAAGTTTGGAGAAGAGAAATAATGGTATATAGAAAAATATCAAATTTTCACTTAGTTCTGGACGTTTCGAGAAGGAATCTGCTCCCGTTTCTCAACATAAAAAATGGATATTTGAATAGCAAATTCGTATTTGTCTTGACACTTTTCTATTCTCAGTGACAATTCGTGACGATGACAATCAAATGAGTTACAGGATGTTTTCATTAATTTATCTTGAATTTACCATTTTCATTTTTAAATTTTAGTAGTGAATACCATGTTCTATCTATATCAACTGCACAGGAAGCAATGCTATTGTCTCCGTTCAGAAAAATGCAAGTAGGTTCCTTGATTTTTCCACCACAACAAAATCAACCATCAATAACGACAAATATAATACCATACATTCCCGGCATAACTGAAAAAATAAAACTCAAACGAAGCCGAAAGAAGAACAACAATCGTCAAAAAATTGTATTTACAGTATACCTTGTGTTTGTGGATAGTTTTATACAGGTGAAACCAAGAGACCTTTTTCAGTAAGGATGAAGGAACATGCGTACAATATAAGGAAAAGTCACATCGACAAATCGAAATTAGCCCTAATAACACACTTATGTCCCATGGATATCCTCAGGACGTCCTGTCGGGACATTCAGGACGTCCATAGGACGTTCGAATTTGGTACCGTGGACGTCCATTGGACCTCTGTGGGACGCACAAATGTCCCACTTGAGGATCAACTAGGGACGTCCTCGAGGGATGTCCCTGGGACAACTATCGAATACCTACAGAGGACATTCTTAGGACATCCATAGGACATAGGTCCGTATAGAAGGTCCCCAAAAAGTTTTCCACGGAGGTCCCATAGACTTACGTGAAGGACATTGATGAGGAGTACTTATAGCCTACGAGCAATCATTTGTCGGCGAGGTGTAAGTAAACGTCCTCGCAGGGACAACATATTGAGAGTACCGACTGGGACGTCCATAAGACGTTATTTCTAGGACATTGGAAGAGTTCAGTTCATGTACCAATTGGGACATCCGACGGATATCCCTAAGGGACATTCGATGGATGTCCCTAAAGGACATTTCGATTGTTATATACGATCCTGGAAATATTAAGGGCGTCTGTGCAGAGATATTTGAAGAAATGTACCATCAGGGTGGCCAGGTAGCCGTGCGGACAGAGTGTCTATATTCTAATTCGCATTCGCTTGCCGGTCGTGGGTTCGATCCCCGTCGACTGCAGAAATTTTTCTGATGGCCAAAGAAAGTGTTTGGGATCACACGTTAAAAGGTAAGGCCCCCGTCATTCCTTGCTCGCACAAGACTTTCGAAGACTTTTGAGGGTTGCTCGTAAGGGGGCAACCGAATGACGGATAGAACAAATTTTAGAACAAAAATTTTTAGAACAAAAATCAGGGACATTTCATGGTTGTCTAGAAAGGACATTATATGAGATCTGAAGTCATGCCAGAATATGTACTACTCGAGACATCCGATGGATGTCCCTAAAGGAACGTTTAAAATCATATCCCATCAGGGACATGCCAAGGACGTCCTTGCATGGACATTCTACAATATGTACCTCGTGGGACGTCTAAGGGATGCTATTTCTATGATATTTGAAATGATGTACCAGCTGGGACATTCCGTGTACGTCCTTGCTCGGACATTGCATGAGATGTACTGCATGGGACGTCCCAAGGTCACTTATTTTTGCTTCGGGACATTCGGACCTGAATTGTACCAAATAGGGACGTCCCTAGGACGTTGTGAGCTATTAGAGAGCTGAACATATCCACAATGAAAATGGACAACATATGGTAGAATGGAATAATATCAAAATCATTGGAAAAGAAAATAACAACCAGAAAAGAAAAATCAAGGGATCTGCTTGCATTCTTCTGAACGGAGACAATAGCATTGCTTCCTGTTCAGTTGATATAGATAAAACATGGTATTCACTACTGAAATCTGAGAATGAGAATGGTAAATTCAATATGGATTATAATGAAAACATGCTGTAACTCATTTGGTTGCCAACGTCACCAATTGTCACTGAGAATTGAAAAGTGTCAAGACAAATACGAATTTGCAATTCAAATATTCATTTTTTATGTTGAGAACGGGAGCAGATTCGTTTCCAAAACGTCCAAAGCTAGGTTAGGTTAGGTTAGGTTGAACGTGAGTGGGCCTATTGTCAGGCCCTCCACTGCGGCCATTGGCCTATTGTGGCTCACCCTAGGGTTATATTTCTCCCTGTATATCCAATTTCTTAACGAAATTGAGGATTGCGTTGGGAGAACAATTTACCAGGTTTTCTGGCCTTACTATTGTATTGCCGAATATTGAAAATCTGGTTCTGGCCGCTGCGGGGCATGTACACAGGATGTGTTTCGCCGTTTCATCCTCCTCCATACATAGGCGGCACTCTGCATCTTGTGCAAGTCCGATTTTGTGCATGTGGTATTTGAGTTTGCAGTGGCCAGTGAGCAACCCTACTATAACTCTGAGATCTGCTCTGCTGAGTTCTAGTAGTTTGTCAGTGTCCTGTTTGTTCCTTGTACCAGCAATAAATGCTTTGGAATGGGCTAGGCCCGGTAGACTGCGCCAATACTCGAGTCTTTTCTTATCTGCCCAGGATGTTATAGCATTCTTGGCAGTGCTATATGCTATACCGATGATCGGTTCTGGCCCAGTGAACGGTGTTTCGGCCCCCCCTTTTGCTAGGGCGTCCGCTATTTCGTTTCCTACTAGGCCCGTGTGACCTGGTATCCAAACTAGGTTCACGTTGTTACGTTCTGCTAGTTGGTTCAAGGTTTCTCTGCAGTTCCATACTGCTCTAGATTTAAAGCAGTTGGATTCAAGCGCTTTCAGTGCTGCTTGACTGTCCAAAGCTAAGTGAAAATTTGATATTTTGCTATATTCCTTATTTATTTCTCTTCTCCAAACTTTTTTCAATACAAATTTTCACTGACGAGCTAGTGAATTTTTCTTTTAGGCTCTCTGATAGGAAAATTCTTCAAACGAAGTGATATTTTGGGGCAAATCATGTGATTTGTCCTCACTACACTTCTATTGAAATTATATTCATATTTCTATTTTATGGAAACGAGGAGAGAAAATCCCATTTTTAAGACGATCTTGCTTGATAAGCAATATGATCTAGTCCGATTAGCAAGGTTATCTTGCTCAATAAGTAAGATGATATAGCCTAATAAGCAAGATGATCTTACTCAATGAGCAAGATGATCTTGCTTAATGAAAAAGATAATTTTACTTAATAAGCAATATGATCTAGCCCAATAAGCAAAATTATCTTGCTCAATAAGTAAGATTATATAGCCTAAAGCAAAATGATCTTACTTAATAAGCAAGATGATCTCACTCAATAAGTAAGATAATCTAGCCTAATGAGCAAGATGATCTTTTCTTGTATCTCTTGGAGCGCACGAAAGGAAATTCCAATAATGTTCGTGGAACATCGTGCGTACCGAGGAAGACTAGGGAGAGGAGGGAGGTGTTGGAAAATTGTTGAACTTTTGAAGTGAATTCTTGGGCATGCTTCCAATGGCAAAGAATTCCAGAGCTTCGCCGTTCTATCGATGATAGACGAACGATAGAGTGTTGTTCGACATATTTCAGGGTTAACGACGCAAGGATGTGCTGACTTGGCCTGTCGACTTCGTCTAACTGGGTTGCTGTATAGAACCGCGGTTATAAATTTAGTTTTTTTGCTGTTCGAAACAAAGTGTAATTGCAAACTGGTGGAGATGATCTATATCACTATCACTGAAAGTCGAAATTTTGATGAAAATACGTTGGAAATATATTAAACTTCGAAATTATATTTTGATTTTATGACCCCCAAACGTACGGCAAACTGAAATATGATCAGTACGCTTTCAGCCAGCTTTCCAATGAGCGGTGCCAAGCCATAGGGTTGCATTTGAAAGAATATGTTGGGATAGATTCCTGCTACCCCTAGAGGGTTATATTCCAGTATACCCAAACGAGGAGACGATGACGCGAAATCCAATGTTTTCACTCACCCAGAAAAAGTGCTGAACGCGCCTAGAACTCTTTCCTTCAATAATGATCAGATTAAAATAATGGTATCCATTGAAAAAGTATACAGGAAGCAAACAACGGAATGTGGTTCCATAAGATTTCACGAGACCCAAAACAAGTTCGTGAAGATTTATCAGTGTTCTGATTTTCGTTACATATTAGTACAGTGGCTGTTAAAGTGGAGTCTAAATCCTCAATGATTGATTCCTACTGGACAAGGAAGGCCTTACCTGGAAGAACCCATGCTGTGGCTGAGCGTTTCAGCAGAAACGGCACTAGACGGTGATAACGAGCGTTGGGCTGCGCTGGCATTGGGCAACGGCACCTCCAAGTTGCCGCTGCCCAATTCCGAGCTGTGGTGGGATTGGTGGTATGGCGATGATTCTGCCTGAAACAATATCATATATCTATCATCTCTTCTCCACGTTTGTTAACTTAATCGTGAGATAGAATCGGCAATTTTTCTGAATGTTGCTGAATGGATATTGTCAAGAAGTACAAATGCCTATGGATTAACATCACTCAAACTTTCGTTAATTTCAAGATCTTTCATCCAAAATTAACTTTTCCAAATTGATACATCCAGTACAGAGTAGTTTCGATCAGGTCAGCGGAGTTCATAGACGTCAGTTCCTTTATAATTTGCAAAAAATCCGCTTACCGTGCGATAATACCTAGGTGTAAGCAATATCGAAAGGTAACAGTCATTCCCATTGCGGAAAATTGCGAATCTAGCATCGATTCCAAATATAAATAGAACCCGATGTTACAGTTCAAATTAAGTGAAATCATAAGTACTCATTTTATTCATTAGTCATTAGTTTGCTTTATTTCATTGAGAAGAATCTACTGCTACTACGTACTACTGCTATTTCTATGTGTGCATACCAAATACGTTCGTTGGTTGAAGGATATATCGCGCATATCGTTTTTCTGATCACCTTGTATAATATTTTTGTGCATTTGGCTATTTTCCATTGTTATGGACCCTTGGTGACCGATAAATATCTGAGGTTTGGAAAATGTTTGACAGTTGTCATAGATGAAGTGAAGTTTCGAATTCAACGGGTGTTACGGCTTCTTTTCTGTGGTGACGATACGAGAGTTGGCTTGTGATACCGTAGCAGGTTTCAATAATCATATATTATCACTTATAGTGGATTTCTATTGATTACCTGTATGTACAATCCTCCTTTTATCATTGTGGACTAGTAGAGTCATTGTGATTAGTCATACAAAGGAAGATTTCCCATATTGGTGATTTTTACGAGTTGTCACATGCCGCCATTTTGAACCCTCCAGACGCTGAGGTATGTACAGTATGTTTGAGAATTTGGCAATGTTTAATTCTTCATTATTCATTATTCATTATCATAGGGTTCACTTCTACCCCTTTCGGATTAATTCTACCATCCGCACCATCGAGCTGGAACAGAAACATCTGACTCTGACGGTTACGGACAGGAACCCATAGCATTGATTGAGTTAGTCGGAGACCTGCTGTGCTTTCCCTTGCATTCCAGTGATAAGACAGTTTTATCCAGAAACAGCGTAGCACCGAATCGATAAGGCATGATTATTATTAGTTCAATCGTTATTCGATTCATCACTACCAATGGCTCCCGTTCGTTTTTGGTTCCTTATTGAGGCAGTTTCAAGAAATTTCACGAATAGTTTATTTCCAATTCTCTCCAATGTTGACGGCACACGAACAATAACATCGCAAAGGAAATATTTTTGCAGGCATGTTCGCAGCAAATTCCACTTCAGATTAGGGAAAAGAGTCACCAGACATTTGCGTTACGGCATTTGCTCCTGCGGGACATGACTGATCATTTATTCAAATCTATTTTCGTTGTGTATGTGTAAAGCTTGGGTGAGGGATTTATGCAGATCATTGTTTCTAGTCCATGGAATATTGACATTAGCTTGCATCTTCATTTTAGAAACTGTGTGCTTAGACCAGAAGAAATATAGAGATTTTAGATTTGTAACGCCTACACATAGAAGCCGCAGCTCTTCAATTTTTTTTATATTCTGGTTCCCACGAACAGGGATATCCTGTAATGTTCAAAGAACATCGTGAGAACCAAGGAAAATAAGGTAGGAATTGGTCTTCTTCTTAAATTCATGGAGATTATATGCCTCGGGGAACACCCCCCTTGGCAATATGTTCCAGATCCTTGCTGTTCGTTAGATGAACGAGTCTTTGGAAAGAGATGTTCTGCAGGTCTCCAAAGTGACCACGAAGGGGTGCGAAGCCTCAACTCGACGGGTTAATCTCGCGGGGACTGCCAAGGGAGGAACAATTTGATATTTCAGAAGAGCATCGTCCTTTTTGGACAGAATCCAACAGTTTCAGGGTATGTTTGCGTGCTGCACTCCAAATATAGGGACAGTGCTCCAGGACAGGTCGGATCTGTGCCTTATAGATCATAAGCAGCTGACTGGAAGTGAAATAGCTCCTGGCCCGGGGCCAAGTTTTTGGGATATACTTTTAGCAATTGATCTCACGTGATTTTCCCAAGGAAGGTTATTGCTGACAGTAATACCAAGCATCGAAATGGATGTCTTCAAAGGTATAGTTACTCCTGACAAGCTTATGTTAGGCACAATGAGATCAGCTTCTCTAGAGAAAAAGCATGCTTCTGTTTTGTTTGCATTGAAATCTACCAAGTTATTGGATCCCCATTCGAGAATTGTTACCAAGTCCATATTTATGTTGTCAACATTTTTTCCTCGTTCGTTTCTGATTTGCCTGGCTGGTATTGAAGCCCTGGAAGAGATGGCGGTATGGAGGGTACTATCATCCGCGAAGCTGTGTACTGGACTTGAAGTTGTTTCCAACAAATCGTTGATATGGGGTAGAAATAGTGTTGCTAGTATTGATCCTTGTGGAACACCAACATTTATGATAAGAGAGTCAGATGAAACTCCGTCTACCACTAGGAGAGACCTGTTTGAGAGAAAACTAGCTAGCAGAGAACATAGCTGGGGAGGCAAGCGGCAAGCCATTAGATGAAAGCTTGGAGAGGAGTCCATGGTGCCAGACTCGATCGAATGCCTTGGAGGAATCAAGTGCCACGGTAAAGGTTTCACCATATTTTTCAATAGATTGCTGCCATATATGTGAGACGTAAGCGGGCAGGTCACCAGTTGATCTCTGATGACGGAAGCCATATTGCCTATCGTTGATAATACCGGAATGTTCCAGGTATTTCATGAGCTCGATGTTGATAGCTTTCTCCATGATCTTCGAAATAATAGATAGCAGTGCGATCGGTCTGTAGTTGCCAGGTAGGGTATTTTTGCATTTTCTTGGAACTGGTTGTACTCTTGCAATTTTTCAGTTGGAGGGGTATATCCCCAATTTGTAAGAGTAGTTGAACAACTTGCAGAGAACAGGTGTTAGTTCGGGAGCACATTTCTTCAGAACAATCGGTGGGATTCCGTCCGTATCAAACTTCCCATTCCCACATCGGCTCTGACAAAGAACTCTTCAATTTATGAGACCAAGAAAGTGTTTAATTATCTGCCTATATACCTACGGGAAATTGGCAATCAACTTGAGTTCAGAAAACAAGTCAGAAAGTTTCTAATTGTGAAGGTTTATTATAGTTTGACTGAATTTTATCAGGATTCCTTTCAATATATTTTATATTATATCTAGATTTGAGTCTACATTTATTCAATTTTATACATACATACATATTATTTTATATCCTTATTTATTTCCATTTTATTCCTACATTTCTGTTGTGCTCTAGTTTGTTAGTTAGTCATTATTGACTCACTATTTTCTTATATTCTAATGTTTATGTATTTTTTACCGTAAATCGTTCATGTTTATTCAACCTATATGCTTTGTCAATGAAAGTCACCTTTCTTTCGACAATAAAGTCCTGATAGAATTTCACACATAGTTTTCAAGTGTGCACCACAATTTACACAGGTTTTCTGTGAGTTATTTACCATCATGGAAAATAGCCAGAGTCCAACCAGTCCCTAACAAAAAAGTGAAAAACCTGCCCAACAACCATACGCATATCGCTGTTATCAGATTCTTCCAAAGTGATAGAGAAAGCCATCAACATTGACCTTATCAAACACCAGGAAATCTTTAGCTGTGGAGTTAGATAAATCGAAAGCATTCAACCGTGTTTGGCACCAAGGAGTTCTTCACAAACTACCATCATACGGCATAGCACCTCAGCTATGCCTTCTCTTATTGAGGATTATTTCACTCCCGCATCAGCTATGGTACCATTTTATGGGGGAACTCAAGCAATATGCGATAAGTATCTTCAAATCTCAAAAGAAAACCATTCGCCTCCTTGCTGGTGTGGGCTCCAGAGAACACTGTCGACCGTTATTTACTGAAATGAAGATAATGACACTACCTTGTATTTTTATTTATCAAACTATCTGTGAAATTCACTCAAACAGGAGCGATAATAATTATTCCTCAGATATTCATGAATATGAAACGAGATCAGCTAACCGAATAGTCTTACCCCGTTACAGGTTAGCAAAATCGGAATCAAATTCCATTAATTTGAAGCTTTACAATAAGTTCAGAGTTGCGCTCCTTGAATAAAAGAGATCTCCATCAAACTAAACTAAAATGTTTGTATACCTTCTTGTTTATTAGTGAATAATTGTTTCAAATTCAATAATTTACTTGTATTTCAAGCCCAATATGATGTATATGTTGATATGGATAATTGATTTATACGATATTGCTCTTTTGTGCAAAAATTCGAAGTGCTGTGAACCTTTGTGTAGAATAGCCAAATAAATCTATCTATCTATCTAAGTTTTCTTCCAGACAGATCGACCCATCTGGTGGTGGATGGAGATCTAATACCATAGCTATCAATTCCGGAATTACATAAGGATCCTTATGGAGTTACTCCACATCAACACTCAGTATTTCATGACATTGTTGGAATCAACGATTTAAATTTAGTCTGTTTATGTCACATCCCACGATTCGCTGAAAAGGTACCATTGATTTTTTCACACTCACTGTATTGTGACATATTCTGAGCCAATGCGCTGTCCACAGTGTTTCGAACATGTGCTATTTAGCCAACCGATATCGATGTTGATGACGTCAGTTGTTAATATTGTTGCGCTATTTGGAAATTGTCGTAAGCGAGTATTATCATTCGAAATATCCCTAGTAGTATTCACTAGAAAATTGAACAGAATGCATATACAGTCTGTCCAAGATAAGGTTGAACAGCATGGGGATCTCGAAAACGGTAGGAGATACGAAGTAAATGGGGAAAAAGTTGCGCATTCGGAGGCTCATACCAAGAGCCTTCGAAAATTTTCAAAATTATTTTTAGTTTTTTAGTTATATCGAGAGAAGTGAATTTTTGTAATATCTATTTTATTTTTTTCTCCGTTATTATTAGAGATACAGAAAAACTGGAAATACTTTTTCATAGCAACTTTTGATGACGTTTAATGTGATGCGTTTTATGCGACGTTTCGTATCCGTAGAACCATCATCAACTTTTGTTTTTTAAACACGGTCCTGAAAATTTTTTCACAGATTCTGAAAGGTTTTTTTATTCTGAATTCAACCATGTATTATACAAGGTGATTCGAATTTGTTTCGACCTATGTCTATCCTTCATCAATGTTTTTTCGAACTTCCAAAGGAAAAGTGCCATCAGTTCCACTTATTTCTGATCATTTAGTGTCAAACTGTCGAACATTGATGGATAAGTTATTCAATACTGAGGAATGAATAACAAATATTTCACTACATCATTCAATGCAGCGCTTAAAATTGTTGATGAATTCTTACACGAATTATCTTAACAACTTGACTTTGACGATACCTTCAGAAACATTCATAACAAATGTTCAAAATGATAACCATTATTTTCTGAACAAAGATATCCTCTTCTCACAGTTGCTTCTAAGACATTACTAAGCATTTCTGGGGTTATTCTTTTGAATGCTTCGATGACACTGTCCCTTAGTTCTTCATCATCAAAGCTATTTGCGTGTACAAAGTTTTTGATATATCCCCTAAGAAAAAATCCAGCTGTGTCAAATCAGGTGACCGCGCCGGCCAAGGGACTGCAGAATGAGTACCAATCCATTTACGCACGAACTTCTCTGAAATTATGTACCGGAGCGCCATCTTGTTGAAACCAACAGTCTGAACTTCCGCAATCGGTAAATCATCCAGAGCTACCTCAAGATGATTCTCAAGCAAATTTGTATGACGTTAGGAAGTCTGTGTTTCATGATAAATAAAAGGATCAATAATTCGTGTATACCAACAAATATTGCAACCCATACATATAAAAGCCGAAACGGTGTTGGTGTCTCCCTGTAATGTATAAATGTTCATTTTCTCGTGAACAATAATGTGTATTTTTTCTATCGAAGATACAATGATTAGTGACCATGCTTTCATTAGTCGAGATGATTGTTCAAGGGAAATCTACAAAACTTCGACATTTCCTGGTATACCACTCACAGAATGTCCTGCGCCTTTCGTCATCGCCTGGTTTTAGCGCATGACATATTTTGAATTTGTATGGATGGAATTTTTGTTTCCGGAAAATGAAATGGGTTGTTGATTGAAACCAGTTGATGAGGTATTAGTGTGTAGACTAATTTTTCTTCAAAATAAGTGGAACTGATGGCATTTTTCCTTTGGAATTTCGAAAAAACATTGATGATGATCAAAAATAGGTCGAAACACACATAAACTACCTTGTATAATACATGGTTGAATTCAGAATGAAAAACATTTCAGAATCTGTGGAAAAATTATCAGGACAAAAGTTGATGATGGTTCTACGAATACGAAACGTCGCATAGAAAAATTGGTATCATCACGTTAAACGTCATCAGAAGTTGCTATAGAGAATTATTTTCAGTTTTTCTGTATCTCTGAAAATAACAGAGAAAAAAAAATAAAACAGATATTCCAAAAATTCACTTTTTTCGATATAACTAAAAAACTAAAAATAATTTCAAAAATTTTCGAAGGCTCTTGATATGAGCCTCCGAATGCGCAACTTTTTCCCCATTTAACCGACTTCGTATCTCCTACCGTTTTCGAGATCCCCATGCTGTTCAACCTTATCTTGGACAGACTGTATACATCCCATGGAACAGTGGCATGGCAATGTATGATTGCATTTTATGAGTACCCAATATCGACAAGATATATTATATATTATTCTGTAAATATTTGTTGAAAACTCGGCAGCTGTGCTCTGCTTGCGTACAAGATGCGAAGCGATGTTGCCACTGGTTTCATGCTGAATATCCTTTGGTGAGAATTAATATCCGTTTTGTTTTATGCACTTAAATACCACATATATTACCTGTATGATGAAAATATTATACAGTTGAGAATAAAGCAGCTAAGAATCTTTCCACATTGTTGGAGATCAATAAATCATGATGTATTAATGTTGATGGTTAGCCAATGTCTGCTTTTTTTCAGTTGTCAATTTCGACCGAGTGAATGAGACATTCGTTATTTTGAGACATCAAAACCATTCAGGAAAATTTTAAGAAATATCAAATTCACATGAAGATTGAGCACACTACACTGTTTTACCACTAACCAAACCGATTTTTTAACGCCCCGACACGTGTTTCGCTAACTATGTTAGCATCTTAAGGAGAAGATTATAACTGTAGTTTTAATCTTCCCCTGAAGATGCTAACATAGTTAGCGAAACACGTGTCGAGGCGTTAAAAAATCGATTTGGTTAGTGGTAAAACAGTGTAGTGTATTATCGTGCCAAAGGTTCCAGTCTTCGATATATATGAAGATTGAGAATAAAAAAACAGTTTACTAAGAGTTCCCTGGATATTTTAGCTGGAGAGCTTTCCATTCATTAGACTTTCAAAAAATTCGTTTCTAGTGTTATAATATGATATTCTCAGTAGAAATATACCGGATGACAAAGGGTATCGGGCCACCCCTGCACGGAAAAAAAACTTTAATAACAGCTAGTGAAATTTGCATACTACCAAGTAAAAATTTGCATACTATATGGGACGAGTACTCGCCTCATCAGCCACAAGAAAAATGATATTTCTGAATCTGATCACTTGTTGTTATTAATGTGATTTCAGGAACACATGTAACCTACTGATATTAAACACTTTATTAGGGACAGAATATTTGTTTTATTGGCCTAAGTGTACATTTTACTTGCAGTTATACAACGAAATCATTGGATAGGTGGTCAGTTCGATAAGTATAGGTGACTTGTTTCACTTGGCCTCATAGAATACCTCACTTGTGGGTAGTGTACTTTTCACTTGGAGTTATGCAACGACATAATTGGCTAGGTGCTTATTTTAATAACTACAATTATCTTGATTCACTTGGCCTCATCTATTATGACTCACTTGTGGGTAGTTCATCATGTCTCACCTTGGATAGCTTTCATCCCATCTTTGTTATCGGGATACACCAGACCCAGTCGAACTCTCTTCCTGTCTTCACTCCTAATTCACTTGGCATCATTCAAACAAGGATCATTTGATTCATTTGTAATGTATCATGCCTTATTTTCTTACAATACATTTTTATTTCACGAATGAACAGTTTTATTTGAGAACTCATCACTATGAATAACGTCATTTCTACACAATGATAAACTTTTAAGTAAATAACAGATCGATAAAAAGTAAAACAGCACTATTGGTTGTCTATAACTCTCGGCCGCCCCCAAAACGGATTCTGAATGGCACCTTCTATACCTCTCGTGGTGATGAGTCATACTTCCTCAGCATAATATAATGAATACAACACCAAAAATTATTTTTCGATTTACCACGTGCACCAAATCCTCAAGCTGAACATACTCTCACGAAGTCACGACGAAACTGACGCTAGTGACGATGATGGATTCTGATCAATTCGGATATACAACACGAATGGGCGACGATTATTCCCGATTACTGGGCAGGTGAACATGTTGTATTACCGTAGGTATATTGGGTGGTACCGCAGATAAACAATTGTATTGTGCTTGTAACACGAGTTTCTGTAGTTATTATTTCCTTTTCAGAAACTCGAAGTTAATAAAGTCTAAATACACTTCACCAGAGCTTATAAAATGTTTTCCTGTGGCTATACAAAGTGAATTATCTAAGATAAAAACTATTTGCTATAGGTGGATGAAATTATAGCTACAAGTTCATGCGTTCAGAATTATCATTTTACTAGAGGTTGAATAAAATTGTTCCTGGAATAGGTATTATTTTTCTTATCCCGATACAAAACAAGTCAGGAAAACATTTTACTTGGACCATTTTTTTCCGTGTGTATAACTTCTGCAATCATGCACCATTTCGGATCTGATCACAGTCACAATCCAATATGGCGGACTTCTGGTTCCTCTGGAAATGCCAGCAACGTCGTTTTTTCTAATGGCCTAGAATATACATCAAGAAAAAGATGACATATCATTTTTGTATTTCGGTGCGATCACGAGTTGTATAGGTACATCCAAAAATCAACAACAAGTTCATGAATTTCCTTTCAGTTCGAAATATGTTTCAACTAAATAACTTAGATGTGGAAAACAACATTTCTGAATCTTGTCAACTAATTGTGAGAAAATTATGTTTCTCTATTATGTGCGACTCATTGGAAATTGCCTTGACCACATCCCATTCATCATCCACGAGGTATTATTGAAAGAATCAATTTTAATTTAAAATTTTTCGAAAAAATTACTTTTGACATAAAGATTGCACCCGTTTTGAACTGTTGAACTTGGATATGTATGAATACACAGTGTGTTCCATTCGAAATATTGAAATTGCTGGCATTTCCAGAAGAACCGGAAGTCGATCCTCCATATTGGATTATAACATGTGATCAAATCCGAGATGGTTGTTTATTTAACTGTACCAAATTTCAGGAGAATCACATAATTCGGCATTTCCATCTTCGCCTCCCATATTTTTTGGTACTTGCCAATATTCAAAAATTCATGCAGTAATAAATCAGCAATAAGCAATAGATAGTTGTAACAAATACTGCCCATAATATTGCCATGCCTCTGTTTATATTCCGCGCTCATCTACAATGCTGTTGCTTTTTCTTTTTTCCCTCACCCCCTCAGTAGATATCTAAAACCGCTCCTGACAGATGAATAGATAGGTAGGTACTTACAGGGTGTGTGTGGCTTGATGGGTGGTGCTGGTGGTGTGATGGTGGATGGTGTCCAACATGGTGGCCGGATCCGTGTTCTTCATCACTATCTTCTTCAGATGAAGATGGATCTATCATCTTCTATCCGTATTCAGTTGGTCTATCTGCAAAAGACAAAGCAGACTATCACTTGATGAATAGTCAGGAATTCACGGAATCATAGTTGTGAAAATTGCGGAGAAACATATGTAGGTCAGACTGGAAGACCCTTCGGGACTAGGATAAAGGAACACCGACATCGAAACCTTGAATTGGTAGGAAAAGTTGAAATAAGTCTAGAAGTAGTTGACAATATTGTTAGAGCTATGAATAAGGATAAAGAATCTATATTCCATACGAGGAAAAAATCAGTAGAAAAACAAAGAACAATAGCAGTTTTTTGTTTACGCAAATGAATTCGTTTCTAGGATAAGAGATCATTTCCCAATAAGTTTCATTCTGATTTTTTTGAAGTTACAATTGCTCTGATTATTTTCCCCAGAAATAAAGATATCCTCGTCAGCACTATAGCCACTATATAATTATGTGGAACAGTTCATTTTGGTTGCTTTTTATCCCATATTCAACTATCGAAAGAAACTGTCATTCCAGAAATATTGTTCACCCGGATCCATCCATATTTTTGTCATTGCATTTTCTTGAGTTTTCTAAATTTCTACGTGCCAAAACTACATGTTTACCATCCTATCATATTATGATGTGATTGAAAAATCGTTGAATTATTCTCATTAAATATGGCAACTGCAACCAACTACTTCATGTCAATGATCTGTTAGAAATAACAACTTGTCCTATCCACAAATTTGCAGATGATAGTACTCTCCATACCGCGTTCTCTTCCAGAATTCCTATTTCTTCCAGGGAAACTGAGAACTCACGGCGAAGGCAGGTCAGTGCCACAGTAAGAAGTGAATGTTCGAAAGAAGATACTGCACTTGTTTGAAAATATTATCTTTGGTGTAGAGTTTACTTCTTCAAGTCAAAAACTCCATTTTCAATTGAAGGGACCCAATCCCTTACATCGAGAAATATATTTTCGTGATCATTCACCTCTACAGAACATTTGAATTACTTGTCTGAAATTAAAAGACTATATTGAAGGTGAATTATGAATTATCTCTTCGACAAATTATCTCCCACTTATTTATTTCCAAATGGTTCGTTAAGAATTTTATAGGTACCTGTATTTTATTTTTATGGAAATAAATAATTATTATTATTATTATTATTAAGTTAACATAATATATTGTTCCAATGCGAGGCTTTCATTTTCCTGAAAGATCTCAATTCGTTCCTAAAAAGACACTTTGAAATATTGAGAAAATGTTTATCGCTCTAGATGAGAAATCATATTCTTCTCCTGAATCAACAGTGATATATTCAAATTTACCTATTATTTGTATTGATTTGAGGAAATATGTCTCATTTCAATATATCCCATCATGAGTTATGTTTGGAAGATCTCACTCTCATTATTTCGAGAAGTCAAGATTATCCCTAAGAGTGTGGAGATTTCTTGTCTGAATGAAATTCGTTTCTTGATGGTACAAAATGTCATAGTGGTGGACGCCATATCCACTCGTACGCGGTAAACAAGTGCATTCCTTGTCATTTGTGTCGTGTGTTTGGTGGAGTTCTGTGGTTTGGTGGAGTTTGGTGCTACACAATATCTAAGCGATGATGAGTGAACTTCTCCGAGAATGAACATTTCAGGAACTTATGGAATTAATTAGAAATCAAACATAACATCGGATATTACATGTCTAAATAGTTTCAAATGAGACTCAAAAAAACATATTTTCGATGAGTTCTGTCATAGATTAAGGAGACGTTAATCTATGGTTCTGTTAAATTGACGCACTATATCTTGAAAATACGAGTTGATTAGTAACTAAGGTTTATTACTAAAATTTCAGGACCAGTATGAACATTAATCCATTCTCAACCATAACATCTGATATAACATATATCTATACAGTTTCAAATGGAACTGAGTGAATTTAGTGAATTGATATAACACGCTTCATTTTTTTTTAAATTATAACTTATTAATTCTATCAAGTTGATAGGAACTAACAAAATAATCGCGGTAATCTCCCTTTGCTATAATCATCAACGAGAATAAAAAGGAGCCTTCTAGTTGGTTGAAAATAAATTTGTGAAATTTTCAATAAAAAAAGAATCAATCCCTACTGTTTATTCATACGAAAAAACATCATGAACGGCCGATAAACAAACATGATAAATTCAAAAAAAGAGGCAAATCATCACCACTATAAGTGAGGCGAATGCCGCCCCTCCACTGCGACCCCAGATGGGTCTATTGTGGCTCACCCCTAGAGGTTACAGTTCACTGTACAATCCACTTCTTTTTACAAAGTCCATGATTGAATGATGTGAGATTTGTCTAAAATCGATAGGTTCTAAATTGGTAAAGCCAAATATGTCGAACCTTAGTCTCTCTAAGCAAGAGCATGAACATAGTATGTGTTCAGCCGTTTCGTCTTCCACACAGCAGAACCGACAGTCCACGTGTTGGTTCAGACCCCTCCTTCCCAGGTGGTATCTTATTAGACAAGAGTGTCCCGTAAGCAGTCCTGTCAGAATTCGTAGGTTATCCCTGCTTCATTCTAGGATCTGCCTGGTCTTTAGGAACGCCTCCGAATGAGTTAATCCGTTACCACCGATACAACAAGGCCAGCAGACTCTGACGTGAACAGCTCGTGACGTCACCAAGGGAGGCCAGTGTTTTATTTTATCGCTTGTCGACTAACGCGTCAGTTCGTGTTAATTCATCGGTGATTCACGTATGTTTTTGAAACGGTCCCGAAATCTTTTGTTGTTTATTCATCAAAATAATTGGCGGAAAAATTACTGTTTTGTGGAATATTTTGTGTTGTGATCGGCGAAATAAAAATACCTTTCAATTGTTGTGTTCCCTTTTGTCGGGGGAATTATGTGGGTGGTTCAAAAGTTCATGCTTTTAGTTTCCCGTTGGACGAGGAGCTATCGAAAATGTGGGTATATGTAATTCACCGCGAGGATTTTACTCCATCTAAGTTCAGTAGTAAACAGAGCTTAATTTATTATGATAAATTGATAATAGAAGACAATTACTCTCTCATAAAAAGTATAAGTAGAGGAAAAATAGAAAAGCTTTGATTGTGCAGTTAGTTTTGTATTCGTATATTATAGTCAACAAAATCATCTCTGAATTCGAGGAGATTTTCTTGAATGTTCATAATAAACAGGCATTTTTAATTCTCATTCTCACATTTCTTTCTGAAAACGGTCATTTGCCTCGTGACAATGAATGCAGAATTCATTCCAATGATCAAATTGCAACTATCATTTTAACATGAACTACAAACACTCTACTTAAAAGGGTAAAACTGCATTTATCATGATATTTATCATGAAGATATTTGACTAAAAAGTTCTAAATTTTATCTTCTTTTTCACCTGTCTTCTGGATGGCATTTAGAACAAATTTCCCTTCTTTTTTCTTCATATTGGACAATTCATATATAATTCCATATTAAGTGAAAAGAAGGAAGAATATCATTCAAAATGATGGCGTGTGTAATGTCATTCGAAAGCAATCTATTGACATTTGACATCTCGTATTTTGATTGACTATTGATTAAATGGTCGTCATCTGGAATGCTTGTTCACTAAATATGAAAAACTCGCCATAAAAATCATATTTCCTGTTGAATTTTCGATATAAAAATGTGCCATCGAAGTACATCATGAGTATATAAACAAATAAAATAAGAGCGAGTAGCTTCAAATGCCCCCAACACAAGGGGAGAAAGAAGGCGAAATTTCGAACTTTTTCTTGAAATATCTCAATAAATAGTGGTTTGTTCACATTTTCATTATAAAATTCGGATTATCAGACAAAAATACGTGAGTACCGAAAAAAATTTCAAAAAAAAACCATCGCATGATAAATGCAGTTTTACCCTTACAAATTACGGTTTCAAGTGTAACGATCCACTTGGGTGAAAAATCCAACAACAGAAAATTGAAAACACTCACTGGTTATTTTTTCAGGTAATAGGAATTATCCAAGATAAATATAGGTAATTGTAACAAACCGCATGTCAATCAAAATAAAATACATTTTCCACAATTTTCTTTCGATCAATCTCACGATAAGTTTATGTTCTGCGGGCCTTGTATAAGTAGGTGTGAAGTTTACCTTCACTACAATTTTTGCCAATTTATTTAGTTCGAATGGGTTGCTGTAGGTGGATATTTGTGTTTTATCCTGGTTTTTGCTTTAAAACTTCGTTTTTCCATAATAAAATCGAATGGGGTGCGAAGAAGGGCTCAGTTGACGACTGGCATCCTCTTTCAACCGGAAGCCCTTCAAAAAACAGCAAAATCGGCTCAATGATGATCTGAAACTAAAATCGAAATACGCGGTCGCCTTATAGCGCTATAAGCGCTTGTCGTTTCGAGCCGCTGGTTAGGCCTCACTAAGTGACGTCACCCACGGAGCATGCAGGCCTTGTTGTACCGGTGGTAACGGTTAATCCTGGTAATTCAGATCAGTGTGTGAGTCTTTTCCCTTCCGCCCAGTCCGAGATAGTTGTTCTGGCTGCACATATACCCCAAAGTATGGTTCTGGTCCTATGAACACAGATTCAGTTCCCTGTTTGGCGAGTATGTCGGCTTCCTCGTTGCCCTCCACCCCCTGATGTCCAGGCACCCACAGCAGAGTGACTCTGTTGTTAGCACCCAGGCATTCTAGGGATTCAATACAGCTCCATACAAGCTTGGAATTCATCTTGGAGCTCAGTGCTCTAAGAGCAGCCTGACTGTTTGATACAATACTAATGTTCTTGTTTTTTAGAGGTCTATTCGTCAACTCTCTAGCACACAATTCAATTGCGAAGACCTCCGCCTGAAAGATTGTAGCATACTTACCGAGATTGACTGAGATCTTCGTCTTCAGATTTCTGCTGGACACATCGGCTACAACTCCAAGCGGAGTTTTCCAACCATCTGTGTACATTACGTGTTCGGTCTCTGGGAATTGGATTGATCCTCTTACCCACTCGTTTCTCCTCGGAAAGAGCACTTTGAAAGCCTT